ACATTTCCTAAGGTACTGACAGGGAGAAGTTATTTAACAAACAAGAGATTAGTTGGTGATCATTTCCTTTATTCTTGTGCCCTTAACCTTGACACCTGTGTGTAACATGTGCCTATCCAAAAGTTAAAATTTTGGAGAAACCAGAAAAGCAAACACAGTTCACAGTAAGTTTTAATGAATCATCTTTCCCTGAAAAGAAGCTCCATTTAAAGAAGACCATTTAAATAACATACTTTCAACAAAAAAAGCGATCAATTCACATTAATGTTTGATTCAGGAGGGATATTGTAAAGAGAAATTAGATGCTAGTCTTTCTTTGCAGTCAAAGGGTTAAATGTATTAGCATCAGAGCAGTGTCCTATGACAGATCTAACATTCGCAATGCTTGATAGAAGAAAGGAAAAACACAAACAAACAAACAGAGAAACAAAATTTAGCTGGATATTTTTATACGAAGGCAGATGCTTCTCCAGAGCAGTATCTTATGTTCTAAATGAACACCATGGTTTGGTACTGAAATGTCAAATATAATGAAAGAGAATGATGAAAGATACCTCTTTTAACTTGCTGGACCTCTTTAGAAGCTACATTGTCTGTCTGTTTTGCAGGCTTTTTTAATTAGCTGGGCACATCTTCTTCCTCATCTGTAGAAACCACATCAAAATACAACTCAAGTGCTACAATATTCAAATTCTATTTGAGGCAGAGTGGTCTAATGGTAAGTGTGCTGAACCCTGAATGAAGCAGATGGCTTTGTCTTCTTTAGCAAGCTACATGTAATACATATGCAATGTTAAAGGTCACGCAATGTTAAAAAAATTGACATTATCTTACTGTACCTCAAGCTCACCTCACACTAAATATTTCCCTACCCAGCCCTCCCACTCCATCAATAAGCAGAGTCTGCCAAAAAACCCTCGTGTCAAACTCAGTCACGTAAAAATATTTAGCCATCTTATTCATTATGAAAAGTATCCAAAATGTTTTCACATTCACATGAAATTCAAGATGATCACATTTTGAAGATAAAGAAAACCAAAGAAAAAAATTAAACCAAACTCAAATTTTCACTCTTTCTAACTTGTTAATAAAACTGTTAATCCTATGAAAATTAAATACATTTATGTAAAAAAAAAATCACAATTCCCGTGAAGATAAAGTCTCCACATCACCTTTCACATGAAAAGTATCACGTACCTCAGGCTTTTCTGAAACAGAGATGCATGACAGAGAACCAGGTTCTGAATACACCTTGACATCAGTATCCATATTCTCCATACTGTTCTCTATGGATTTTCTAAGCTGCTGACAAGGAGAATTTGTTTAATAATCAAGAACTTCTATAGTTGGTGATCATTTCCTTGACTCTTGATTCAGGGCTGATATTAGGGTCAAAGAGTCTAACTACAACTGTATGAAATGGAATGAAATTGAAAAACAAATCACATACCTGATTTTTGGAGGAAGAGGATCTTCATCAGAATCTAGAGTAGACGTAAAATTAATTTAGAAATAGGGTCAAGACATCATTGTGATGTTGTATGTATAATTATGTGAATCTTTTTATATAATGTTTTTGTAATAATGCAAATTGCATTTGGAATTGACAAGGACACTGTACAGCACAATACACCATTAAAACTAATACAGAGGTATAACAGTTTGTGTAGAATCTCAACATCTGTTCCTTTTGAAACGGTTGGTGTTCATCCTAAAACATTACCTGAGTCAATAATGTTTCTTCCTTTCTTCTTCCTCTTCTGATTTTCTTTTGGTTTTTGTTTTCAGGCAATGTCATCATCTTCACTTCTTGATAAACTCTGCCCAGCAAATTAACAATTACATATTTTTATTCACACAACATGAGATAAATTTGCTTCTTTTGACCTACATGTGTAACAATAACAACTGGATAAGATGAAGGGGGGTGTTGTTCCTTGGAGCACAACTTTCTTGCAAGACATTTTCTTCCAGCTCAGAAAATCAACAGAACACACCAGGTGTAGAAACCAATCCCCCTCCTGGCCCCAGTCCGTACAGCTATCCATATAAGTTTGACTTTTGCACAGATCATGCAAATAAAAAAGGTGTGAGCTTGAGTTAAAAGGCAATTGCAGGTACATTGTTATGCCAACCATATTCCCAAATTTTCCAGGTAAATTGCTCTTTCGTCAAGTGACCCATGTTTCATATATTATTATTATTGCCTATGTTATACATATTTCTTGTTATTTGCATTTCCTGTGTTATTTCCAATCTCGTAATTAGTCATTCTGTTCTTGATGTATTATGTTCGTAATAATTTTCTTAGAAACCACTGGCAATGGTGTGTAAATATTGAAGAGTTCAGTGCAGGAAATTAAACTCATCTAAAATTTATTGCTGGCACGTTGGTCACACCAGGCTTGTGAAAAAAATAGTCTGAGTAAGGTAAGTCTCAAGGTTTCTTTATCAATCACCTTTCAAGTTAGTCAACAATTTCATTTTCCCTTCAGTCTTGTCAAAATTGTGAAATAGGCATTAGAGTTGTATAATGCAACTGCTCTGCAGAATTAGTATTAGCTGCAGTTTGAACAAATTTGTAGGGAATGAATAAGTCCTGGATATTTCAATGTTGAGTGAAATTTATGTAGCAGTGTATCACATCATGCTGTTCAACCCTTAAACTCCCAGATGTAATTAACATGTAACTTCTCCCTAAAATATCTCTACAATATCCAACAAAAGGGTAATGAAAAAAGTTGTTATCTTGATCTAAAAACAAATTCCTATCACAAATGTACAAGGAAACTTCTAGAAACAAGTGGGGAGAATTAGAAAACAGATCTTGGGAGTTAAAGAATGAAGACAAAATTGCTTCATGATATGACCTTGATAAAGATAAAAAACAAAGGCAAACATTGTAACTTATCAGCCTCACTCAGCTACCCTGACATACTCAGACTATTGAAAATTACACTTACAAAGTTAGTTAACACACAGTACCACACCATTTTTCAAGTTCCAGCCCAGAAAGATACCTTGAGTTGGATATATGTAGTGGAATGAAACTCTTGGTTAAAACATGTTGTAAAATTACCTACCATGTGCCAAATAAAAGATTCATGACAGAGAAAATTTTACCATGTATGGCAATACATACCAATTTTAGCGAAATTCTGCCGCTGAGAACTAAAACGACTAACAAACCATTTTAGTATAGTCATGTGTTCACATCACTCTCCGACATTTCACGCCATCTTTGATAATCTCCTGTACTTCAGCCAGCGGTCACCAACTTAGCTAGCTTCCAGACTCCTGCTATTTCTCTTCCGCTAATTTTCCGAGAAAAACAATAGGTCATAAGATAACCATAATCTAATTCAAATTCACGGAACCAAATGAAAGGAGCTGTCAGACGAGAGAGGTTGAACCACGTGCAGTTGCCCCATTAGATTGTTTTAAGAATGGCAAATAGATCCGCGGAGAACACTTCTCAGGGGTACGTACTCTGTTGTGGATGTCGATATTTCCATGAATGACTGCGCCCTAGATTCGCGCCGGCTCGTTCTGCGATTTGGTTCTTTCGTTGCGCTGTCGTCTCCTCGAGGTATATCATTTGTTTATTGAAAAATATTCAAATTCGCAGCATGAAATTTGCAAAACGTTATTTGAAGTTTTATACGCTGATATTCAAAAACAATTCCATGTAATATAAAAAAAAAACTACGCATAAAAGTTCTACCGATTGGACTTGAATGGAATAAGTGAGGTCGTGCACGTTTTCTCAAACTTAAAATTACACTGGTTTCTAGATTGTGTTTGCTTGAGTGGTAGCAGATGATGGAGTTTATACGCAGAATTGGATACAACTGAGTCAAAGAGTTAACGTTTGTAACACTCTTCTTTGCGTCTGTCTTTCAAATATCTGATTTCATAAAATGTATTTAGTCTCTATTGTAAAACTAGAATCGACCATATCTCCGGAGGTTTTAGGGCTTACTGTGATTTGATAAACGAAACGAAACGAACTGAAAATATGAACATCTCCGTGGGGTTCTTAGCTAATCAAATCCTCTTCTGTATTTAAAGGAAGGACTGCGCCATTTAGCCATAACATGTAGATCTATAATTACAAAAAAAAAAAAAAAAAAAAAAAAAATCCGTGAGGCTGCAGCATCGATGTTCGTAGTCGACGAATGATTCGATTGCGTGACATGACATCTTCCCTGAAAAATATCGCGTGACTCGAGTTGTTTTGCAGCATGTTTCTGATTGGAAAATAATAACGATAAAAAGAGTTTCCGTTGAGGTTTCAGTAATAATAATGGTTGTTGTGTTATCATTTGTATGAATTCTGGACTGAACTGACCGATTCATCCATAAGGGGGGCATTGGGATTTTCGATATTTTTTTTAGGATCGGTTTTTATGCCGTGGAATTTTGGTTTTTCAGATTGTGTGTTCATTACGGATTACGGATTTTCCGTTCTTTAGCATATGTTTTTCGGTTTCGTCATAAATACTTGTCTTATGGGTTTCGGATTTGGTTTCCAAAGTGGTTTTCGGATTTTGCCATTTGGATTCCGGTTTCTCTTCGATCCAAGCGGCCACTGATCTCGAATAGCCGCGAAACCTCTGTATGTTCCACTTGTCAACACTGTATCGGATCGATCAGGGTTTTGAGAACTGGGATGTGAACACGTATAGATTTTGACGGTTTTGCATGAGGTTTTCGATTTTGATCGCATTTTTTTGCGGTCTTGCGGTTGTGGATAATTTTTTCGACGGCTTAGAGGTTTCTAATGGACCCTCTCATCCATCTGTACAGTGGATTTCCACACGGATTCTTGTTTTGCAAATTGAAAATCTCTCTTTCTAAAATTACAAATCTTCATTTTCGTTCTGTTCCGTGTCTTAAATTACAGTAAGCCTCGTGTAGTTATTTCCTCTGAAATTGTATGTGGATCTTTTCATACAGATTTTCATTCTCAAAATTATCAATTTAGGTGCCTCACAATTATCAAAGAGAGTCTGTTTGATCTTGGCTGTCTTCTTCCTTCTGTAAATGAAATACTGAAGTAACCTTCATCAGAAAATGATGACAAAATTGTTTACATATCATAATAATTTGATTTAGCACCCTTCTTCCAAAAAGCACACCCTCTGGAATAAGTGCCCCCATCCCCCCTGTTTTATGTCAGAAAGTTAGAAAGGTGATGATGTTTTGCTAAAACTTCACTTGTAATTTCATGCTTGCACAATTGATCATTATTATTACATGTATTGTTATTATTTTTAAGCTTGTCATTATTTTTATACTGGCCTTTGTCAAGCAAAGGGTCAAATCTGAACTTCAAAACTACAGTGGATATCCTGGTTTGCTGATGTGAGTACAGAAATTGATTAATAGAGCAAAAAGGTCAAGGCTTATATTGAAGGTCAGCAACATATAGTCTGATCATTGTGTACTTTTAAGTAGTTGTACCTAAGTCTAAGTGACACCCAGCTACATGTACTTTTTTTCAAAAAAGTTGCTACTTGAAATAAAGGCAAAGGGGATGTGCTGCTGGTTTGGGTGGCATTTTCATGACTCTCTTAGCTACAATGGGGTTACATTTTCATAGAGTTACTAGATTGGGGACCAATACATTTTCATGATGTGGAAAATTTTCCTACATCAAAGTAAGGATTTACAAATAGGAAGGTTCAAATTAGATTGAAATGTACCAGAATATTAATGCACTGAAGATGAAAAGTAAAGTGTTCTAAATTCATGTAAACAAATGTGTTGCTTCATTTTAGGATCATGACCTACTTAAAAGACTTGGGTTTAGCTAGATAGATGCACCTATAAACAGAAATTGACTAAGTTGGGAAAAATTACTTTTCTGGTAAAGTGACTAACTTAGCAGATGGGGTGTATTGTTGGCCACAGAATAGCCTATAATAGGGCAGGTATTCCAAGAGGCCAGCAGCACATGGGTAGACGGGATCACAAAAATAACACTTCCCGTAAAGTGACTCACTTAGCAAATGAGGTGTATAATTGGCCACAGGGTAGACTATAATGGGGCAGGTTTTCTGAGAGGCCAGCGGACTTCATACACAGCAAAAATTGACCCAAAAACTCTGCCACCCCTGATCTATCAGGAAATTGTGCCATTTCAGTCAGAATATAAACACATTCCCTTATTGAATGGGTTTAATGGGAGTGTATTTTTAAGTGAGCTAGTTGAGTGCCACTGTTTTACCAATGTTTGTGTGGTTCCTTTCAGACCATTTGATTTTTTAAGTGATTTTGGCAACAGATTCACCTTTGCTGTTATATTTGGAGCCACTTCCAGCACATGCCTGAATATGTTTTTACAACCAAAAAATGGAATTTTTCAAATGCCTGACCCAGCTGGATGGGTGCAGGGTAAGTGGTCATACCATGGCAACCTGATTTTGAACAAATTGAGTGTTTGTTTGTTTTGCTTTGTTTTTTCTCTCACTGTTAAAATCATTTTCAAAGACTATAGTAGCTATAGGTTAACTCAGTTGCTGTGGGCCAGTATTAGTTTATGAACAAATTTTAATATAGTTATATGGAATTTAACATACAGTTTAAATGACTAAGAGGAAATACATGCATTGTCAGGGTTTTCAGGCATTTGGTTTGTGTCTTAGCCAGCTGTTAGCATCCGTGCAGTATTTGTTGCATTCTCCAGAGTTTGCAGCAGTACTCCTTTGGATGTTAAGGCCCTGGGGCCGTCCTCATCCAGTGGTATACCTTATCAGTGCATGTGTTGTTGCACCATGTGCCCGTGTTGTGTTTGCTGTTCTGTAGCATGGGATTCTTGTCCTTGAGGATAGTGGTTCTCGGTGTTTCCCCCCTAAACCCTAATTGCAGAGTTTCTTTTGCGGGGTCTATTTCAGCAAGCTGCCAGTTTAGCATTGGATAGGACAGTTGGTGTTCTAGCACCTTGGGGTGTGACTGTAGTTGCAGCTCCTGGGCCCCTTGGGCACCTAGCCTCCATTTGTGATGGGGTGTGAACTTGATATTAAGTAATTTATTTGGAATATTTAGACAGGCTGGCTCAGTTTGGCTTTTAAAAGCAGGTGTAAATGTGGGCCTCTATAAATGATAACAATGCCAGATGACCACACTGGGAGCCACATTTGTTACTCTTTGTTGAAGTCTGTCAGTTGTTTTACTCTTTAACTCTCAAGATCTGATTATTAATTAATTCTCCCCTCAAGCTGCTGCACATTTACATATTCATCAGTTATGAGAACTTTTCTGTTAGATCAAGAAAACGTCTTCTACTTGAGAAGTTTTGGTATTCTCATCACTTGTTTGCAGGATAATGTGTGGATATTATTGGGAGAAGTTACCTGTTAATCATTTCTGGGAGTTAAAGGGTTAATGTCCCCTGCTTATAACCAGTACAGAGAAGATGTAGGAGAGTATGGGGCCTATGGTTTATCATCCTAAGCCAAGAGGACTAAAACGTCTAACCATTTGCAGATGATGTATCAAAGGCAGCACATTCCCCTCAGTTATTTTAAGACCCTGAGTGTTGTTGTGGTCTGGGGGTTGAACCCTCAACTACTAACACAGCCATAACACCTTCACTATATAAAAAGAAATGACAAGGACACATCCAAACTGATCGCTAGGTACTTTAATCTCCCTAATCATTCTGGGCGACATATGGCACTTTGTGGCCTTTCCCTACATCTAGGTAGTTTGAAGGGTCGCAAAAAACTTCAGAACAAAAGTTATCTCTCAAATAGGCACTCTTAAACCCCGCTGTATCAACAACTAATTTATTCTTGTTTTCTCATCACCATATTCCTGCCAATAGCATAGCTCCATTTTCTGCCTATAAATACACACACAACTCACAGTTCCTCTAACTGCTCTGATGAAGGGCTATTGCACGCAAAACGTCAGCTTTTAAACTCTATAAAGTGGCCAATTTCCATTATCAACTCAACTCAGTCAATAATACTAAATTACCCTGTTATACTCTCCCACTGATGCAGCACCACAGTTTCTATACAAACTTACCCCCTTTACCTGCACAGCAGTCCAACACTCAACATGAGCTAGCAGAAAAAAAAAATAATTCCTCTGTTTTAATTAGTTTTTCAGAATATTGTCGCTGTTCTTGTGTACAGGATCCTGTTCTACCCATTTTTTGCCTGTCTGACAACTGACAACAGACTGGTTGGGTCCTTGTTGGGTTTTCTTTATGTTACAATCAGGTGAGCTAGCTATTAATTTTTTTATGAATACCAATTTAATCAGTCTGTGAGTTTGTTTTTTAATTAGAAAATACAGTTCTCAGAACTCTACAATTGCCAATACTTAATTCAAATATTACTCTAATGTGGAACACTACTCTTGGCTTTGAAATAAGTGATGTTTGTGTTAATTTTGGACCATGTTTTGTACACATGTCCTGGTAAATAGGGAACACAGCATGGCTTACATGTGAAACAATAGACTAATTTGGTTCTCTCTGCTTAATTAACCCTATCAGCCCCAAGGGTAGTCAGCATGTAAGTTCTCCATCCAGTAATATTGCTGAATAATTCATTAAGAACATGAGAATAACAAAAAGATTGCCAACTCAAGACGCTCTGATTACAATATGAATTCTTCTCATCAGTACCAATGAAAATTTATAGTTAAGAGTCTAGAGAATATGGATATTGATGTTAACCCTCTAACTCCCATGAGTGACCAAGGGAGAATTTCTCGTAATAGTGTAGTTTGATCGTCCGGGTGAGCGTAGTTCTGAGAAGGACTGCTGTCGGTAGTAGTGACTGACGTTTCGACAACCTGAGTGGAAGTCATCTTCAGAGTCAAGTGAATAGTTTTTGTCAGTCGAATGTTCTTAGTCCGGTTTGAATAAACTGATTGATCAGTTTTGCCGCGATGTTATTGGCTGTAAGACTCAAGTGGCTTAGGTCGGTCGTGATTGGTCAGTCTCGATCTGTTAATAAAGTTAGGTCGTTCTGTTCGGTTCGTTTGTAATGTTAATGTCATGGATGAGTCGTTTCTATGGTGCCGATAGTGGTTGACACCTGTTGAGGGGAGTCTGTTCCAAGTTAGTAAACCAGCTTTCCAGAGTCAGTCGTTGAAAGTAGTTGGAGTTGTAGGTTAGGCATTGCGCAGAGTCCCAGTCAATGGTGTGGTTCGTTAGTCGGTGTTGTTCAGCAATGTGATTGTTGGCATCGCCTTTCCTCGTCGCTCGTTTGTGTTCAGTCAGTCTGGTTGTGAGGTTTCTGCCAGTCTCACCGATGTAGGAGGCGTGCCAGTCGGAGCAGTTGATCTTATAAACTGCTCCCGGTCTGTTCCTCGGTTCGTTTGGGTCTTTGACGTTAGTCAGTAACTGACGTAGTGTGGTAATGGGTTTGTGAGCGACGCGGATATTGAATGGTTGTAGGATGCGGGAGATGTTCTCAGATATGCCCTTTATGTGCGGTATAGTTGTTGTAGTCGTAGGAGTTGCGTTGTCGTTAGCTTCGGTAGTAGTAGTGGTTAAGGTCGGTGAGTGTTTCGTCGGATGAAGTCTTCGTTATAGTTGTTCTTAGAAAAAACACGGTCAAGGTACATAGTTTAGCAGATATTTGTTTTCTGCACGTTCTGTATTTGGTATTCTTAGTGTGTTATACAATTAGGTGTTTCAGTTACGTAATACGCGTTAATTGCATGTCGTTTATATAGCTGTTGTCAGTTCGTGATCTTCCTTCGGGTCTGCTAACGCCACACGCTCACTCCACCGTTCTTTAGCATGAGCAACTCTGAGGAAGCTAGGGCACGTTCTAATCGGAACGATGGAGTTTGAGATCCTTCTGTCGGTGCTGTTATACGGTCTGCCGTTTCTGAATCGATGGGTTCTTTAACCGATAACCTCACTATAGGTTATTGAATCTCGGCTTAGCTATTTCGCGAAGCGATTTTCCGCGGAGAACAGCTCGTCCGTTGAACAAGCAGTCAAGAGAGCTCGGCGCGAACAATATACCTGCAAAAGGAAAAGAAACCAGCAGCAGTTGGATCATTCCCTCCCGTGGTGGATAAACTAGACGAAGCATCCGACGCTCTCAAGCAGAAATTGTACGAGAAAGTTAAAGTTGCCCAGGAGTCAGGTACTGAATTAGTTTCCAAGCGTGTCAAAGCCACTGATTAAGTTAGTAGACAAGAGCGAATTTGGATGGGCGACCGTTAACGAATGTTTGTCTGACGAACTCGCCTCTGACTCCGACGACGAGAAGAGAATTTACCGGGCCGAGAGAAAAATCAATAAAGAGAAGCGTCGTCGTGTCCGTTCTGACGAGAAAGGAAGCGGTTCCTCCTCTGTACACTGCGCGGCTTCTTCGTCGAGATTCTCGTCTAAGGATTTGGCTTCTCGTTCGGAAGCTAGACCAGCTCGTCGTTTGGGGCCTTGTTTTAAGATAAGTAGCCTACTCTTTCTCGTTATACTGGCTTTGTTTTACTTTGTCGATTATGGCGTTACACTCATGCCATAATCCAATATTCTCCATGAATTGCTGTTTTGCTGTATGTCGTTCTATAGACTAGGTTAGTGCAGAATATCGAAATATCTGCGGTAAGTAGTTTAGCAGATATTTGTTTTCTGCACGTTCTGTATTTGGCAGTCTTATTGTGTTAGACAATTAGGTGCTTCAGTTACGCAATACGCGTTAATTGGGTGTCGTATACAGAGCTGCTGTCAGTTAGTGATCTTCCTTCTGGTCTGCTAACGCCACACGCTACTCCACTGTTCTTTTATTTTTATACTGTGGATTTTATTTTCATGCTGTTGTGTGTCCCCTTTTTTCAGTGTGGAGGTTTTGGTCATTTGAGCTTGACATGCACGAAACTTGCGGACACTTCAGAGAGTAGCGCTCGCCGTGATTGACTAGATTGCGGTTTGTTGACCACTGATGATACTAATGCCCAGCAGGTTGAGTGTGATTTTTTAGCGACGAGTTTAGTGTTAAAGGCGGTAGCAATGGCGTCAAAGGTCGCTTGAAATCCTCGCTTAATTTCTGGGGTTAAGCATTAGATGCTTCCGATTTTGTGCTTGACATGATTGGGCGTGGTTACAGGTTACCTTTTGCCCAGTATCCTTCACAGTGCTTTCTAAAGAACGACAGATCTGCGCTTCAGCATCCAGAATTTGTGGCCGAAGCAATTACCAAGCTACTTAATAATGGTTGTATTGTTGAGCATGTCGTTCCTCCGTTCTGCATGAATCCTTTAACAGTCGCGGAAGGAAAGAAGTTGCGTCTCCTTATTGATCTTAGGCGCGTCAACAGTTGTTTAGTTAAACCCAGATTCAAATATGAAGACATGCGCTTGCTATCCCAAGTTCTGGATGAAGAACACTGGTTTTTCACATGGGACCTTAAGTCCGGCTACATCATGTTGATATTTGTCTTGATCACCAAAAGTATCTCGGTTTTGCTTGGCCTTTTTCCGGCGTTGTTAGATATTTTACCTTTGCAGTTCTTCCTTTCGGCCTTAGTAGTGCCTGCTTTTTCAGCTTTTCTAGACAGCACCGTTTTCAGCGGCATGTGGGAACCCGAGGATATCGGCCAAAGTTCTACGTTCCGCGAACTGAAAGCTATTTATTTCTTATTGCTTTCCTACGTTGCTTAATTGAAACACAAGAGAGTTAAAATCTTTACTGATAATCAGGGCGCCGCCATAAATTGTTGCTATCGGAAGCTCCAAAATTAATCTCCAGGCTCTGGCCATGGACATTTTTAATCTCTGTCTTGTTAACAGCATCATTCTGGAAGCGCAATGGATCCCAAGGTCGCTTAATGAAAGGGCAGATTTTCTCAGCAGATTTGTTGACAAAGATGACTGGTCCGTCAACCCTTCTGTATTTCGTGTGATTGACGCCAAATGGGGCCCTCACACAATCGATCGGTTTGCGTCGCATTACAACGCCCAGGTTCCTAGGTTCAATTCTAAATTTTCCTCCCCCGGCTGCAGCGGCGTTGACGCCTTGGCCTAGGATTGGCGAGACGAGAACAATCGGGTCTGCCCTCCTGTGAGTGCCATCGTCCCTTCTGTTAGAGCTCTCTCGTCGTGCTCTGGTTACGGCACTCTGATCGTTCCACAGTGGCCTTCGGCCTATTTTTGGCCCTTTTTGCATGACAGCTCTTCTCCGTTCAAGTCTTTTGTTAAGGTAGTGTTTGAGCTTCTTTGTATAGAAGACCTCTTGTTGGAAGGTCCCGGCCAGAGGCAAATTTACAAGGCGCGTCCCTCGGTTTTCAGTGGTTGCCCGAGATTCAGCATGTTAGCCTTACGGGTATTTTTTAGGTGAGCTTTTGTCATCCTTGTTTACCATACATGTCTCTTTTCTTTCAGCTCTGCTCCTCACCTTGTCGTTGCTGATCTTTTAATCTAACCTCGTTGTTTTGTCTGATGTGGCAGTGTCATTTTGGTCAGTAGTTTGACCTCCGTTTGTTTTGAACCTTTTGCCTGATTTGGCATCGTCGTTTTGACGGTACGTGTTCTGGGCTAAATTGTTTTTACGTCGCGTTTGCTATTTTATTGTTTTTTGCCTGATTTGGCAGTATCTCTTGGGCCGTTTTGATGGTTTTTGTGGCATCCCATTTTCTGTTTGTATTATGTATCTCTTTTTTATGTTATTCAACCTTTTGTTTTTTGCTTACTTTTATTTTATTTTATTTTATTTCTTGTAGACGTTCTGCAATCGGGGATTTGGCGTGACGTAAATTCTCTGGTCGATCTATCTTTGCGTAGGCTTGTTCCAGTTGGAGTTCAGGGCTCCTTCCTCCGAGCAGAAATACAGATCTGGCTGGCTGAAGTGGCGTAAATGGGCAGCTCCTAAGATTAGCGGGAGGGCCATACATCCCTCCTAGCAAGGTCTCATAAGGTTACTCGCCCTGTTTCTATTACCGAGAGGTTACTCAAGCTTCTTCCTTCATCTACTGAGTCATCCTCCCCCCTCGTTAGACGAATTGTTTAATCTAAGTCTAAGGAGTATTTTCATGCTACTAAAGGCGTTTCGTACACGACGCTTAGAGAGGAATTTAGGAAATACGTTAAGCCATTTGTAGATGACATCACTAGTTATGGCACGCATAGTATCAAGTCTGGCGCCGCTTGAAATCCTGCGTGTAGGAGTATTTCTGCTGATCTGCTGGACACGCACATCGGCTGGAAATGTGCCATTTCAAAGAACAGGCACATTAAGCACACTGTTAATGATCGCTTAAAAGTTGCTCGATCTATTGCTCTTTAGTTTCGGATTTCGTTTGCTTACGATAAATTATTTAATTAGTAGTCTCGGCGGGGGACTAAGTCGTGCCTGGCCCTCCTCAGATTTGCAATCCGTTTTTCCCACAGGGTTTGCCCCCCCCTGGCACGGCTTTCTCTAGTTTACATTTTCAGTCTCTCTTTTTGTAGACGTTATTGGTATCTGCTTTAATAAAGTGGCGTTATGGCGTTACACTCAGGCCATAATCCAATATTCTCCATGAATTTCTGTTGTGCTGTATGTCGTTCTATAGACTAGGTTAGTGCAGAAGCTGTCTGTCGTGTTGCATACTAGTTGCGCTCGTCGCGTGAGAGTCCTGATAGTTGTGGCTTTGTGTGATGTCGGGTTGTAGAATGACTCGTCCAGTAATCTGTAGGTATGTGTCGGTTTCCTGTAAACTGCTCTCCGTCTCCACTACCGACAATAGTCCTTCTTAGGACTACACTCACCCGAACGATCAAACTACGCTATTACATGTTACCCCCGGGTTCAAACCATTTACTGTACAGAGTTTCTCCTTACAATATCAATACAATATCAAGCAGACAAGTCAGATGAGAATAAAGTAAAATATCAATTAGGGGATCATGATTATAAGTTGATCCAATACCAAATTCTCCAAACTAACATCACGAGAGTTGTATGGCAGACAGTAACAAGAATTGCTAATGAGATCGTAGGAGTTAAAGGGTTGAGGTGTTGTACTACAGTAAAAGTACTTTATCAAAGTGATAGATGAAAACTAATTGACCAGGAAAGCAAACCAGCATAATTAATTTCTTAGATTCTTTTTCAAGCTGGGAATAGAGTTTCAGTCTATGAAGTACTTGAAGGTAAGGATATGAAGGAATCAAGTTAAATTGTACGTTTTTTATTACTCAGCTTTTTGTTTTTGTTTTGATATTTCTCAAGGCGATATTTAACAAATCAAACACAATTCTCCTTGGTCTGCAGCCTTCTTGATTATAGAAATGATGCCAGCAATGTTCAAAACTAAAGTGAATCCACAAGGGGCAGTCAAGTGGTTTCAAGGCAAGTAGTATTTTTTAAGAGTATAAAAGGGGGTTGGGGGGTGGGTTTGCATAGAGTGTAGACAAGGGACTGTAGAAAATTGACTGCCAATAGCAGCCAATGAGTGTGTGGGTGTGCGTGTGTGTTTCTTGTACGAGTCGGTGATAAATATGCTATTTACTGGCCGGGAAGTCCGAATTGGGTAAGATTGTGCCCAAGGTCCTGAGCACCGGTATTTTAAACAGAGTGTACAGTTTTTCCCAATACGGACCGACCTAGGCTGATGACCAACAGTTTTTCCGTACACTCAACGAAATGTTTTCCAAAAGAACCCTAATTACGGCAAGATCCTCCGTGAACTGAACAAATTTTGAGCGAGTAAAGTTGAAACAGACTGAGGTAATGCAAATTAAAGAGAGGCTTAACCGAAATATTTTTATTTGTGTATTGAAAAAAGTGATTTAAAAGGCTTCTAGAAACAAACTTTGAAACATTTGTTTGACAAGTATCTGTCACAATCTGAAACCTGTCAATTAGACGGCGCGTAAGAAAAAAGGACAACAACAACAACAACGGCGCTGGTTTGGCAAATAAACTTACGTGAAAGTAATTCTAATTAAATTTAAAAGTATATTTTGAAGTTGTGGGAGTTTGCTCGTTTGTTTAGTGCAATCACGCGAGTAACTCTAGTCTTTCATCAAAAGGGGAATTTGAATGCAGCTTTTTATTGCTGAATTCCTTCGTATTCTGTTGTGAAATTACGGAAGCGACTGTCCGATTTGAACGCACTTGCAACGACTTACCGAAAGCGTATTTAAAGTATAGAAGACTTCGCTCACTGGTTTTTGATGAACAACTTGTTTGAGAGATTCAGATATATGATAAATGAAATTTCCACTAATAATTTCAATTGTAAAGAAATACCTCACCTTTTAACTTTCTGAGCTTCTTCTACTGAAGGTTTAGGTTAGTCACAAATGGTTTTTAGGCCGCGCGTCAACCCATTTAATGACATACTTGCTACCAAAATTCATTTAAACACCAAATTTTTGGCTGGCAACCAAAGCGATTTGAGAGAGAGAAATTGAGGATCAACAAGTTGTTAATCGGCTTGATTTTCTGTCAAATAATTTGCTTAATAATACTGCCCAGCTGGCAAAACGAAATGTATTTACGAAAAATAGCAACAAAGTTAGGCATGTAGTGCGGAGCTTGCGCAAGCGATACCGTGCCAGTGGGCAGAGTTAGGAAAATCCGGACCGCACTCATGGCCAGTAAGATTACAGGATTCGTTACTGTGCCCTCTGAGAAAGACAAAAAATAAATACAGTTCTTTCCAGAAAGGCTGTCGGAAGAAAGCATGTCGGAAGTGCAAGGGATAACCCCGAAAGGTATTGCGGGTAGCTTTTATGTCATGGTTAGACTTGACCTCAGGATCTCGGGGAAGGCTAAGAAAATGTTAATTTAAGGACAAGGCATCATGGGTTTGATTAACCTATTTTATTTAAAACACTGAATTTAAATTCTAAACTGTATGAAAACGAAAAAAAGAACAAACTAACACTAATTAATTTATCCTTACTTTTTATGTCCGTATTAATTACCGTTACCCAGATAATCTTTTGAGATTGTCGCGTGCACTTTAAATTTTTGCTCTTTTTTTCCGACAAACTTTCCGGTAACAACTTTATAAGGTTAACTGTGTATCTCCAGTTGGACATTTATGATAACTTGCATTCATATTTAATTTACGTTTTTTCTAAGTCTGTTCAGGTGGGAGAGGAAGAAGGAAGTGTAGGGGGCGGGGGAGGTGCAGCTCAACGAGGAACTAATTGATATTATAAAATAATTCAAATAGTAGACGCGCTCTGATTGGCCATAAAACCATTTTACATAAGCGTACGTAAACACGGTTTTCGTTCCTCTTTCATTAGTTACTTTATAAAAGAAATTTAAAATGGTTTCCGTGTTTACATAGCCTGATGTAAACACGCGGGAGGTTGGGAGAACACGAGATAAGCGTAGGAAACCACGACGCGAAGCGGAGTGGTTTCCAGCTTATCGACATCAGACTATGTAAACACGGAAACCATTTTACATTTCTTCATTCAAAAACTCAACTACCAAAATTACATAAATTCTCGAACTTTAACTACATAGTATGAGAAAAAAGATTCTTCCCCTTCCTTGTTAATGTTTTCTTACTGTTTCACATTGATTTACCAAGACATGTTTTTCGCGCACAAATAACTCATAAAAAAAAAACATTGAACAAGATGAATGGGGCAGTAAGAGAAGTAGATTGAAATTTTTCATTCAGTTTAGACACTTAAGTTTGCGATTTCTTTCGCACTTTGTCAGATAATCAAAGCTCCCCGGTTGGGATCTCTATTCCCTGTAAATTACTCTCCATCACACGCTTGTTATTAAACTAGTAACGTCTCTGGCAAGGATCCTCTCCAGCTTTGGCTATTCGATAATCATATCTAAATAATCAATTTATTCCAATTGTATTCTTCAGCTCAACACCTTGATACTCGTACGAGTCATAAAGGAGATGACCAATTTGTTGCAGCCAACTGGGGAAGACAACCATTCTCAGCAAATACGGTAAGATTCACAACATAAAAGTAAAACAAAATAGTGGAAGAGGCAGCCATGTCCTCCTGTGAGGCTCTATTCGCCTAACTTCCTCATTCCTTAATCAGTAAGGCCTT